ATCTAAAGTTTTTTAACCTGATTTAAATTTAACCTATAAATTCTTCAGAAATCTTTTTATCTGCTTCAACTAACAGCTAAAATCTCACTGCTGCTTTTAGCTACTGCTGTTTATTTTAGCTTACATCAACTGTTTAGCAGCAGTTTTTACTTTGGTTTTGCTAATTTAAAATTTCAGCCACTGTTTGTGCTACAATTAGCTTTTACCTGTTATTGTAGTTTTACGTTTTGCTCATTTTAGCTTTTAGCTACTATTTGGGTACATGTAATTTTTGTTTGCTGATTTCCCTAATTTTAGCTGGTAGTTACTTTAGTTTTCCTTCAGCTACTATTTGGGTGCTGTTAATTTTTGGTTGCTGGTTTTGTTAATTTTAGCTGTTAGCTTCTGTTTTTCTAGTTTTAGCTTTTAGCTACTGTTTGGTTACGTCACTTCTAATTTCTGTTATTTTTTCTAATTGTAGCTTCCAGCTACTGTTCCCTTGTTTACACTTTTAGCTACTGGTTAGTGAAGTTCATTTCTAGCTGCTGATTAGCTACAATTAGCTTTTAGCTACATTTATCTTGATGTTACWGTTTGTTTTAGCTTTCAGCTATGATAAAGGTTGAAATAACCTGACAGATTAAATTAAAACCCTGAACTCTTCATGTTTTCCAGCTCAAACGTCTCTGTTTGGTGTATCTGTGGATTGTTTCCACTCGGGTCGTTGGTTTAAATCCTGGCGTCGTTATCCGTGGATTAGCTGCAGAGTGGCAGGGATTACACAGATTACAGTTGATTATCTCCACCCTCACACGGACTCTGATGTTTCCCGTTGCAGGGAGAGGTCAGTGAACGTGTCGGAGCCCGAGACCCTGGAGCTGACCGTGTCCAACCTGAAGCCCGAGGAGACCTACAGCTTCAGGGTGGTGGCCTACAACGAGGCGGGGCCTGGAGAGAGCTCCRCCCCCCTGAAGATCTCCACACAACCGGACCGTGAGTTGATGATTGCTGAGTCGTGGTTTCTGTGGGGTCTGGATTTTTAAAAGACACTTCTGACAGCTGCAGATGGAACAAATTATTATTTATTAATTAGTTTTTAAGTTTAATAAGTTTATTATTTCAGATCCATTAGTTTAAATCCTAATCTGGGTCAGATGTTTGTTTGTGTTGGTTTTACTTTTAGAGCATTTTAAAACCAACTGGACATGGGTTTTTACGATGTAAAAACAAGTGTAGCATGTCATTGCAGTTTTGCCTGCAGCATTGGACTTTCAGAATGAACTTTGACCAAGTTCAAATATGTTTTCTATACCAGCTTGTGCCTGTCACGTCAGCAGGTGTTTGTAATTAAGGTAATTGTGTGACAATATGAAGTTTGAAGAGATTTTTTGTTAAAAATGCATTAGCTGGGTTTTGAACCCTRATCTCCCACATGAAAGTCCATGACATAGACCATTAGACCAATGGCGCTGTGGAAGAAGGTGGTGGCAGTGTTGGTTTGTATGTGTGCAGAAAGAGGCCACATTGTCAATACAATTATTGACACTAAACTGCATAATATTACAGCAGTAGAGCAATATTAAGACAAATTTATAGTAAAACATGAAAATACAATCATATTAGTATTGTAAACACTGAAACATTGAGGTAAAATATTAAGAAACTATGGTGCTGTACCATATTGTGTAGATGCAGCAGGGGGCAGTATTGGACCATTACAAGGC